AGCAGGAATCATGGTTTCACTATCTCTGTTAAAAGCACTTTCACTGAAGATAAGCATGGCATATTTGTACACCTTTTATATATAGAATCAACTAACAGAGCAATCACTACTTTTAGTTAACATTACTGAGTGTTAGGATTTCATGGCTAGGAAGACCACAATTCTCATTCATTCTTGTTAATTATAAGGAAATGAAGATTTTTACTGACAAGAAGTCTAAAAATAAAAGGTGTATTACTTACTGATTGACTACATTTCTCTAGAAATTTTCCTAATATGCTTCTAATCACCAATGTGAATAGGTCAAAGAGGAAAGCAAAAATAGCTTTAAAAAGGGATTCTAAGAGAGTTATCCAATCTGATGCATTATGAGTCCCACACTTCCCATATAAGCCCAGATTAAGCCCAAATTTAGTGTAATAAGGAGTATTTTATTTCTTTATTGGTTGTGGTAGGCTTTCATAGGACAGCTGTCAAAATCCATAATGAGATACAGTAATGTAAACGTGTGTAACATAGGCACAGTTGTATTCTCAGAGCAGAAGTTCATTCAGTATTTGTTAACTTACGTGTTACAGCTAAATACCTGTCCCAGGTAGTCTTAGGAAACAACAGGTAGCAGATTTCATGAATTAGATCCTTTTCTTTAGACATGAAGATAATTTGTTAACTTAAGTAAAACCCATGCTGAGCTTCCTACTTGAAAATTTAACATATATTAAATGTTCTTGTTAAATTAAGATTTTTTTACTTATTTTTGACACTACTAAATTGATATATAACCTAGTATTTTACTTAAAATATAGCACTCAATAACAAATTATTAGACTTCATGAAATAAGTATAATCAGAATCCTTATTGGTAACAATAAGTTTGCTGAAAACTTCCCCTACCATAATATATAGCATTAATTACCTGTTTATATTTCTGCTGTCAACTGTAATCAATTGAAGCTGTTTGCTCAATATTTTGTATACAGCATTTGTAATCAAAGGATAGGATCTAAACTTACATGTAAGAATTCTTTAAAAACTCCCAAATAGAACCCAGATTAATGATTTTTTTTTGTTTAAGACATTAGACTTTATTTTATAATATACAGCAGTACACACAATAAAAAATGATACATACCCACAGCTCAACAGTGAGCTCACTGAAGCATTTACATAGATGCACACAAAATAATATTTGAATTAGTTTCCTTCCTTTAATCTCTGCATTATAAAATAATATATTTATTATAAAGGGAATCATTTATTACTGAAGAGGAATAAATAAATTCTGGGCTTAAAAATCATTAATAATCAAAAGATAGGATCACTTGCACACATCTGTTTCCTAATCACTTAGAGACTCTGCTAAACTCTATTGTCATTTTTCCTGTGACTCTGTTTTTCTCCATTATAATGTCTGTATTCTGGGCATTAGCACAATTCCCCAAGTCCCTGTTGAAAGCAAACATCCTTATTGCTATAGCAGCCACTTAACCTCCACGCAAATGTATCTGTGTTAGGTACAATGCAGCAAAAAGGTGCACTGTTGGATCGAGTGTTGTACTGTGCTTATTTTAAAAGATCTTTGATTTGGTAGAGTGGCTATTAGTTACTTTTTTATAATAAGCCCTGTGAAGACCTGTGCCAGCTTGAAAAGGGGTAAAGCAATGAAAACGGGCCACCACAAAAGCAACTGGGCAGCTTTTATCTAAAGTATGGATAAAAGAAAGGTTTTCAAGTGAATAGACTATACGTACAAAAAGCAAGGTGTGGTCTGAAGGAAGGTACTATAATCATAGAATAATCTCTCTTATAAGACCAAGAGCTCTAAAAAATATAATGTAGGCTATTTTAGTTTATATACCTTTATAATTTGTCTGTATAAATATACCCCTAATCAAATTTACTCAAAATATGTGCCTTTAAAGATAATTGGAGATACAGTAATTCTTAGGATATTTAACCCTGAGAAACTAGGTTCTGTGCAAACATCAAAAATTACTCCATAGACTCAATTATCACAATAATTGAGATTACTGCAGTCTCAAAGGGTGGACACAGATATAAGACACAGTGAATCAGATACATACAGGAAACTTCTTCAGATCAATCAAACCCAGAATATTCTGTAATGCTCAGGCTAGAGGCGGAATGACAAGGGCCTTGTAAAACCACACACGTTCTCTACATTGAGAAATACTGTATCCCTGGGAAAAATCCTGTCTTCCCACTCCAGCTTGCTCCACTCCTAATAGAAGAAGCGCCACGGAGAGGGAGTCACTGTTTACAGGAGTTCTCTCTTTCCTGTGTGTGCTGGGAGGGAAAGAAAGACTGAAACAGAAGAGGCTAAATATTTTTCAGAGGTTAAATTCTAAGTCCTATAAAATCTCCACTAGAAACACAAACACCTGATTCATGACTGAATTTCATTTTTGCCCGATTAGGGTCATAAGTGTTGCCTCTAGCGGTTCTTTCAGAATGTTCAGTAAAACATTTGAGTTTTGAAAAATAAAAACAGAATAGATACCACCTGTCTGTTGTATGGGAAAGGATCTGTTAGTGTGTCATCTCTCTAGATGGTCCAGAAAATTAATTTGGGTGAAGGGCCACATGAAAGGTATTTTTTGATTTGTTTGTTCCTCGAGCTTCAAGACTATATGCAAAGGGATGTAGCAATAAAGTAATAAGATTATACACAATTTGGAACTTGAATGTTAGTCTTCAAAAGAGTTACTTTATGAGAGCTGTCCACTTATTTTAATGACAATCAGTATATTCCAGATTCTTTTGTAACAGACAAAGGAAATTTATTTCACTACATTAACACTTTGTATTAAGGGAAAACTTCAGTTTTTGACCCAACATACTGTCTTGCTCACCAAATAGCTCTGAATTACTATCAAATCTATACATTATGAATGAAGACATATGGTAAACATTGAAGTTTGAAAAAGGACAGCATCATTGTAGCACACATGGAGTTTTATGTGATGCCTCACTGAAAAAATAATATTAATTTGGATCAATTAAAAGAAAAACAATCAGTTTATAAACAAACACAAAGGTCATATATAAAACATGAAGAAAATAGCAGTGGAAATAGTTCGCAATAGCCCTTGAAGTTTCCCAGTTAAGCCATTTGAACTTCCGGGTTGGTCTACTAAGTTTGAAAATCTGTGTGATTTGACTATTTACTAGAAGAAGTGTATCACTTAAATGCATCAAATACCTACTTGCATGAAAAAAAAAAAATGTTTTCATTATTACATTTCAGAACATTTCCTGGAAGGATAATTAGTGTAGTAGATGCTGTCTGTTCCCCACCCAGATTCTCTTTACCAGGCCTGTGTACCAGGTCCCTGCTGCTGGATTGTTGGCTGCTGTGGGCTCCGAGCTGCCTCCTTCCTCAGGGAACTTCCTTCATCCAAAGACAGCCACCTCACTTGGCACTATCTGGGAAGCTGTCCTTTCCCTCTGGGGACAGACCTCAGCCAATGACAGACTGACATATGAAAGCCTGGCTCCCTTGCCTCTCTGGAGTCATTAATGGTCTGGAGCTCACTGTGAGATGAGGGGGAAGCTAGGCTTCGGCTGAACCCATCTCTCTGCCTAGCTTTTCCTCTTGCGCTAGGCTGTGTCCCTCACTCTCTTCTAGGTTTCAAACGACAGCACTCCTTCACTGTATCAAGTGAACAAGAGAGCCTATCACAAGCTTTACATCAACAAAAAGCAGCCCAAGACAATTATGATCCTATGTACTAAGAGCCGTTTAAATTCTGAAGCCATATTTGAATAGAAAGCAAATACAGTAGATGCTACAGTACCTTGACAGGATGCAGATTTGTTGTGGTGATAATTTTGTGCAGGGGGCTTGCCAACTTTGGGGGCAGCCTCGGCTCTTTATCCAGTCCCTGGGGTTTAGTGTAATAATCCAGTTTCTCTCGAGGAAAGAAATTGTTGATTATAGTCACACAATCATGTTGACCTTTTAATAGAAAAATAGGAAATATATAATTTCATTATTCAAAATAAGACTTTTTTTATTATATTACTCTGTTTTCTGAAGTAAACATGCATCAACATCTTCAATTTGTAGGAAAGGAGAGTAGAGGGGGAGGAGGAGGTAAAATGTTCTGGGGAACATCTACAAGCATGCTTTGTGATCAAGAAATAATCTCCTTTTTTTTTTTTTTTTTTTGCGGTACGTGGGCCTCTCACTGTTGTGGTCTCTCCCATTGCGGAGCACAGGCTCCGGACGCGCAGGCTCAGCGGCCATGGCTCACGGGCCCAGCCGCTCCGCGGCATGTGGGATCCTCCCGGACCGGGGCACGAACCCGCGTCCCCTGCATCGGCAGGCGGACTCTCAACCACTGTGCCACCAGGGAAACTCAAGAAATAATCTCCTTTTAAAGACACAGAATTCATAATACATGAGAAGATTATGTGGATAACAACAACAAAAAAGCAACGTTCAACTTAAAATTGACCCTAAATGTTTAATAAAAGTTGCTTGTAATTTAAATGTCTCTCCTTCCACCCCTACACAAATGATATTCATTCTTCCCTAATCACATCTGGCTTTCTTTACGCAGAATTTAAATTTATTCTGTAGAAAGTTATTAATTATAATTACTGTTCATATTGTTAAGCTAATCTCTTCCCCCCTTGAATTTGAGAAAATCTTGGCCTCTTTGTGAAATGATTTAGAGAAAAAGCTTTTGCCCCTGTAAGCTTGGAATCCACATTACAGCTCCTCATAGATCCCTGTGCCACTTCTCTAAGCCATCTCGAGAGGTAAAAATTGTTCTAGGAAAGCAAAACCTTCCCTGGCGAAGCTGGTGGCCTGTGTTTTCCTGCTGCCTCCGCCTCCCTGGCTCCCTCTCCACTACTTCTCTGGAGCAAGAAAGTGGCCACTCTGGGCAAGCAGGCTGTGCCTGCAGGGCACATTTGCAGGTGCAGGCTCTTCCAGAATCTCCGGAGGACAGACTTCTTCCTCCGCTCTGCCTGATAAGGGCTGAGGGACCAGTGGCGGAGAGTCCTGGGGAGCCGGCCCAGATGCCGGGGCTCCCAGACAGGGGTCCACCCTGGGTGGCCCTTGTGGCCCCTGCCCACTTGTACACGGTCCAGGGAGCATCTGCTCGATCCTGCCAACAGGTGACCTGTGGGGGGATTGCATTGTGGGCCAGGTGGACCCTAAGGTTGGTCAAGGGCTCAGCCTGCCTGAGAGTTCAAGGAGAACTCAAGAGTGGACCGGCTTCCCGCTGTGTCTCAGCAAAGGACAAAATATCTCCTGGTTTGTTGACCCTAAGACCACAGGTATAGAGAGATGGCACTTCCCTTCACTGCTCCATGACCCTGTCGGCTTTACCTGACTGCCTAGGAGATGCAGACCAAAGGGGATCCAATCTCGAAAGACTCTGCAATGCCTCCAGCAAAGGGCTTCTTCCGCAGAACGTGTTCTTACAACTACAGCCACACCACAACCAAACCATAACCACAACCACCAAAGAAGAAAACTTAAATTAAGCAGATCAACTACAGTATGTAAAGAGACTTTCATGGACCACAGAAAGATTCCATTTTTAAAAGTTAATAGACAAACTGAAAGAGGTAATCCTGGTTACTACCGAGAACTAAAATAGTAATGTAGAAAATGAAGGGGATGAAATATCTCAAAACAGAGAAAAACTAGGATATAGAAATCATTATGGAAGAGATGAGAGAGCTGAAAAACAGATCCAGGAAAAAAAAGAAATGGATGGAGAATTAATAATTAAACAAATGATAAAAGAACACATCCATGATATGAAGGGAAATTTTAGTAGCAATCACAGTATCATTTTTGGTATTTGATGTGATTCTTAAATGCTGAAACACCAGTTTCTTTTTCTTTTTCTTTTCTTTTTTAAAACCAGAAATCTCCATTGTATATATCTTGAGGAGAAGTCAAACAGTAACGGGAAATATTAAAAATATGAAGTGTTCTGTTTAGAAAATGATCATTTCTACCTACATAATCTTCAAGAAGGGAGAAAAATGACAAGCAAATATACAAGCAGGATGTAAACATGAGAGCAACAAAAGTAACACAGATAATGGTGTGCAGGAATTTACAACTGTACATGAAGAAACTAAAGAAGATGAAGACAAATTGCACTGCTTTCTAAAACACATCCAGCTTCAATAAAAAGATAGAGGCTCCTGTTTTAAAAAAAAAGGGTGCTCTAAAATAGCTTCTAGAGACTTCCCTGGTGGTGCAGTGGTTAAGAATCCACCTACCAATGCAGGGGACTCAGGTTCGGGTCCTGGTCTGGGAAGATCCAACATGCCGCGGAGCAACTAAGAGCGTGCACCACAGCTACTGAGCCTGTGCCCTAGAGCCTGCGAGCCACAACTACTGAGCACACGTGCCACAACTACTGAAGCCCGCACGCCTTGAACCCCGTACTCCGCAACGAGAGGCCACCGCAGTGATTAGGCCGTACACCACAATGAAGAGTAGCCCCCGCTCACCACAACTAGAGACAGTCTGTGTGCAGCAACGAAGACCCAACGCAGCCCAAAATAAATAAATAAATAAATTTTAAAAAATTAAAATAAAAAATAAAATAGCTTCTAACTATCAAAATAGACAAAGGAATATTTGAAGGTAAAGGGATCAGAGGAAAATATAGACTTAGCTTGTAACTACATCTTCTCATCAGTCCCCCAACTAGTATATTCAGAAAAAGCCTTGTTAGCAGTTGGAAATATTTGTACATAAAATACTGGCTACCTAACAATGACACTGTTGTAGGACTAGAGGTTTGTTAAAATTACACCTTTGTGAGAAGGAAAAAAATAATATTACTTTACTTTTTTCCAACATTAATCTTTCTCATTTTAGGTAGTACTTAGGTAATTTTGCGTATTTTATTTTTAAAAATCTGCCGATAATTTATATTAGAGTGATATACATATATATTTAAAGTTTATCTTTATAAATTTTTACTTAATTTATATTTAAATTTTAAAATTGAAACTATTAAGTATTTAGTTTTATGAGTTTTTAATTTATGAATGTGAATACCTACAAATAAAATTGTACTTTTAATATAGAAAATAAATGCTGGGGGTGGGGGCTGGGTGGGGACCAGTGCATCATTTTGTGCCATTATTACTATCACTGGACTTGAGTCTTCTAGACTGAATGGGCTCACTGAGTCAGCCCTCGGCAGGATTAACGGGAACATACACACAACCAGACACATGCTAGTACAATTTTTTACTTTCAAGGATAAACTGAAATTGAAATACAGTTCCAGACTAAGAAATGAAAAGTTGACAAAGAAAAATAAATCACATTCTCACTTACAAAACCAGGATTTAGAAAATTGTGGAGTAACTTCTACATATGATTGAGAGAATAGAACAGTGATATAAGAATCATGAAACTAGCCAACATATGACTCGCATTTCAGAGAAAAAGAGTTTTGGTTATGATGGGTTTCAAACAATATACAACCTACGAACCATCTGAGAATGTCCTGTAACCAAAACCTAAATGAGAACAGAGATCTCAAGATGGAGCAAGAAGAAAAGAGAGGAGAGAGTGAAGAACAAGAGCCCTTGGCAGCAGAGATAGTTAATCCCAATGGGTGGAGACAGCACGATGGAGAAATTATACTGTAGATGGTGAGGACTGCTGAAGGAGAAAGAACACACCATGAATGACACTCTAATGACATATTGGCACCAAACATTCTAGACTTTCTCAGGCAAGTGCACAGCCAGTCGTAGTGGTGGAGGAGGAAAGGAAAGGCCTGTTGCCTGACAAGGCAAACAGAATGTGGAGAAATAAATGAGTTATAAGGATTTCATCTTGTTGGGGTTGCTAAATGGGCAAATGCAAAACCTTAAGGGTAGGGCACAGGGTATAGTTTTGCTCTTGTTTCTAGATAGTAACTGAGAAATATGGGTGTAACTGGGAGCACTGTGAATAGGAGAGAACGCACTGGTAGAATATAAAAGCATTCTTGATCTTTCAAGTTAATAAAAGGAGAAATAAAATTTACTCTAACAAGACCAGGCCAGTCACATTAAGGAAACACACACACACACACACACACACACACACACACACACAAATAGCCACATACTGAGTGAGACGGGAGGGACTTCCATGGTGTACTGGTAAGTGAGGAAAACAAGTTGCAAGGAATATATTTGTATGACCTTATTTTTAAAAGATGAAAAAATCTTGCACGTGTGTGAGTACATATGTAAACATATTAATCTGCTTGAGGGGAATGAAAGTGGGAGAATGAGTTTTTTTTTTTTTTTTTTTTTTTTTTCAAAGTGAGGTTCAAATAGTTATTTTTAAAAAGCTAGAAAAAATTCTGAGGAAGAATATGTTGGTTTTCAGGTTTAGCTATTTTTTTTTTTTTTTTTTTTTTTTTTTTGGAGAATGAGTTTTTAATAAGACTAACTATAAGGAAAATATAACGTCAACTTGAAAGGGTACAATGTAATTTTCTGTCTATGAAATTAGTCTAAATAGATTGAAATGGAATGAAAACATTACCCTCACTTTAGGATGGAATTGTGGACAGGTGTACACTAGATTTTTATTAACGTAGTATTGATAGTATTAAAGAAAACAGAGAAAAAGAAAAGCACTGTATTAATGCCATGAAAGTGCAGGCTCCTCCACTTCCAGCCCTGTGATCTGGGGAAAGTTACTTAACCTCTATCTAAGCTCTATTTCATTACATTGTGGACATAATGAAAACTTGTAGAGTTAAACAGAACTTCAGATCATCCAATTCCCTGGCTTCTTTGTACATATCAGAAAACTGAGGATCTGGAGGTGAAGGGATTTGCCTGTGATCTTGTAACTAATTAGGAGCAGATATGAACTAAAATATGAGTCTCATGATTCCTAGTTTAGTGTTCTTTTCTTACTAAACTGACACCCTCAAAATTAGCTGAGGGCTGAGGTGGTAGCAACCAGGGAGCCCCTAACTGTGGGAGATAAATATTTCTCTGAAGTTTGCACAGCAAAGCCATACCTTTTTCAAATCCTCCTGAACTGAAGTAAAATAAAACAAGAATATTTGTTCTCAAAGAGCTGTCATAAAGTGACTCAGTGACTGCTTTGACTTAATCAACAGTACTTACTATTAGTAGTTTTAAGTAATATAATAATAAAATTTAACACCATATACAGTTACTGTCCCCCATATCTGACTAATTCCCACTGTACCTTAGCTTACATGTAATTTCTCTCTTGAAATTCCCTTGGAATGGGAGAGAAGATCCCTCTCTTTGATGTATTTTATGGAACCCTTAAGTCACCCATTAGAATACATTTTCACACAGTCATTGCCTTTATCCTCTTAGTGCCATGAATGCAGGAACACCCTCTGTCTTATTCACCAAAGCATCTAGAGTGATGCTTGGTCTACAGGTTGTGAATGTTAAGTATCTGTTTAATGAATCATTAGGCCTCACCGAGCTACTTACTACATTCCCAATAAATCAGATATTTCTATCATTGCTTTTCTATCAATGGACTCTTCTAACTGCCAACTCATTGGGGCCAAAATATCAAACATCAAATATTCATTCCCAATCTCTTCTAAACCCCCTATATTATATCGAGTAACAGGATTAACACATCAAGAAATATTGGGAACACGTAATAAATGTTTGTAGTTGATGAGGATGATAATGAAACAGCTGTATACTGTATTATCATTAATGCTCCTTCCTAATCATTGTTGTAATTATTTTAAACAGCAATAACTGATGGCATTTATTGAGAGCTACATGTAAAGCTCTTTAGGTCTATCATCTCATTTAATCCTTTCAGTAACCATGTGAACATTTTGCAGTGGGGAAACTGAAGATCAGAATAATTAAGTAACTTGCTGTTAAGTGGTACAGCCAGAATTTCAACCCAGGATCACTGACTCCACAGTTCCTGTTCTTAAACATTAGGTTAAACTGCTTCCTTAGAGGAGTAAAATATTCTCATTCGAGCATTTGACTGCAACAAAAAGGCCTCACCACACTCTATATTTCAGAGTGGAGATTCAAAATAGCTTGTTCATGTTATCCAAAGTGTCATTAGGTGTTTCATTAAGTTAGACAAAACTGTAAACATTTGGTTTTTTAAAAATAAACATGACAGGGCTTCCCTGGTGGCGCAGTGGTTGAGAATCTGCCTGCCAATGCAGGGGACACGGGTTCGAGCCCTGGTCTGGGAAGATCCCACATGCCACGGAGCACCTGGGCCCGTGAGCCACAACTACTGAGCCTGTGCATCTGGAGCCCATGCTCCGCAACAAGAGAGGCCACAACAGTGAGAGGCCCGCGCACTATGATGAAGAGTGGCCCCCGCTTGCCACAACTAGAGAAAGCCCTCGCACAGAAACGAAGACCCAACACAGCCAAAAATAAATAAATTTATTTAAAAAAAAAAAAAAGTGAAAGGGAGACAAGGTCATTTACATGGCTGTTATTAAAAAAAAAAAAAAAAAGAAAAATAAACATGACAGTATTTACACTCTGAGAAGCAAAGTGGTATTTTTTTCCATGGGGGAAATTCTGGGTATAAGCTAATGTAAAACTGCCATAAAAACTCACCCACAAAGGCTGCCATCTGAGCTGCTGTTCTTCCTACAGAGTTGACAACATCTGTCTCGGCACCAGCTTCCAACATTACCCAAGTGATGTCTTTATTACCTAGAGTTAAAAAGAAACATATTTGTTAAAATTAAGGACTGCACAATTCAAATATTCCCTTTTAAATAATCTGTACCCTTTTTTTCTGCTGAGTTTTAGGTTTCTATTTTGTGGATATTTTCATTTTTTCCAAAATATAAATCATAACTGTAGCAAAAAGTAAAATGCTATAGAACCCGCACAGAAATTAACCTTATTTTCTAGAAAACACATCAAGCAATACAAAAATGGTATGGAATTGAATATAACTTTTTTTTTAACAAGACAAAGTATGTTTTTCCTATGATAATACTTAGTATTAAAAAAAAGAATAATGCTTAGTATAAAGTCAAAACAAAAAATAAAAAACAAAGAAAAAATAAAATGAATAAAAGTCTCCCCTTAATGTCTACTAACTCATCCCATCCTTCACACCTACAGGACCTGAGATAACTACTGACAGTTGAGGATCTATCTTTTTACACTTTGTCCTATCTACACATTCATAGTGATTCTATTTGTGTTCTTTCACTAAAGGAATCCTTACAGATAATCTGCTATTATAAACTATACTCAGTGGACAGCATTTCCCATTACTTTTTTCAAGCTTGAACTATGATTTCCTTAGGAACAGTTCCTGGAAAACACTGTAGGATCAAAGGTTATGCATATTTTAAATGCATTTTACCAGGCTGCCTTCCAGCAAGGTTGGGCTGATGTACACTCCCCAAAACAGTGCACAAAAGTTCCTGTGCCAAGACTGGGCATCATCATTCCTCCTTAACCTTTGCCAATATGTTTAAGTGAAAGGTTATCATTTGTTGTTCTAATCTGCAGATCTTTGAGAGCGTTTTAAGCTTATTAGCCAGTTGTATTTCTTTTGTTCTCTGTTCAATTTTGTCTAATTTTCTACTGTAGTATTTGTTGTTTTCTAACTGATTTATAAGAACTCTTCATATATAATGATATAACCCTTTTAGAAATAGTAATAACTATTTTCCTTAGTTTTTTAATTTATATTTTAACTCTATGTATGGTATTTTCTATATATGGAAATGTTTTAAGATTTTATGTAATCAAATTAGGCAATGTTGCCCTTTTTGAATTCTATATTTTATACTATGCTTAGAAATGCTTTTTTTCCCCCTGGATTATCAAAATACAGATTACTGCTTTTAAAGCATGGTAATATTAAGTTACGTATTTATTTTCTTAAAAAACTGTAACAAGGACAGATAATTCCACTTAATTTTAGATATTTCCCAATTGTCTTTATTCAGCAAATTATAAGCAACATGAATCAGAGTAAGTTTCTAAATGGATCATCATATTTAGTACTTAAATGTCACTGAAGCAAACAGCCCTATCATAGCAGGTATTCTCTCAAGAGAACAACAAAGAAGTTTTCATATTACTTCAAAATATAAAACTATAGAACAGCAAAGGAACTAAATTGTAAGAATAATAGATCTAGCTCCACAACTCTAAACAAAATATATTGTCAATACAAAGAATCAAGTGATTTAAATAACTAAAGAAACATCACCAAATAAACTATATAACATACTTCATACATTATAGCTTTTCAAAACCGATTCCCACCATGTCTTTCCACAAGACATGATCTTAAAATTACTATAACAAAAATACGCTTAATTTAAAAATGTACACATACTTATAACAAATTTGTATAAGTGACTATTATTGGTATATTAGAATAAATGCTAAAACTTCACCAGAAAGTGCAGCAAACATGAGGGCTGTGTATCCATGTTCATGTTGATGACAATTTACATCAGCTCCATGTCGTAAAAGTAATTTGCACATATCAAGTTTTCCTTTATATGCAGCATGCATTAGAGGAGTCATTCCATTCTTTAACAGAAAGGGAAAAAAAAGTATTAAGTTTACTTATTTACCTTTCCCCCTGCCTATGAACAATTCCTGCAATTAAATTAAAACACAAAATAAAATGAATTAATAAAATCATCTTTATAATCTACATTTTTATACTCAATTCCCCACTTGGATCTTCCATAAACTGCTGAAGAAAAAAGATGGTTTTATTACCTGAGGTTTTCTACAGATTAGCAAACAGATTCAGAGAAGAATTGCTCAACTTCAGATGACTAGTAAAATGGCCAGGGCAAGGACCAAAACTTAAATTTATCAGGGCTCTCATCTCTACTACACATACTTAGCTCCTGGGGAAACAAATGAACAAGCAGATACAAATGCATTAAAAAAAAGAAAAGAAAAGAAAAAAGTAAGGAAAAACCTTAAAACAAAAAGAATGCTTATCAAGGGGAAAGTTGAATATGGTATATCCATAGCATGGAATAGTATGGAATAGTGTGATGTTACTAATTGAATACATTTGTATCTATTGAATTGAAAAAATTTCCATGAATTACTGCCAATGAGAAAAACAAGATGTGAGAAATGTATGTTAGAGTGTTCTCATTTTTAAAAAATGATCCTCAAAATCACATTTATATTTTGATCATATATATGATTTGGTTATATATATGATTATATGAATATGCAGAAATGATTGGTAGTGTTTACACCAGGCTACACTGTTTAGTCTCCATATGTTTTGTCCATATCCAATGAAACATCCAACTTTATATGTTGACTACCTAATACTATTTGGTGGATAAATAAATGAGATGTTCCCTGTAAGTAAATCTTCTCAGAATCCAGGACAGACTCTCTGAGTGCTGGAATTTCAGAGTTACTCTGGATGAAAACCTCTCTAAAACACACAATCTTTTTTTTTAGCAAATCTTAGAATACTAACATAATTTGAATTGTTCTTGATGATTCTAGACTATTATAATGAACATCGTCATCAATATTATCAGAGGTTTGTTGATGTGAGAATCATAGGAAGGTTCTACAAGAGGCAACTTAGTAGTAGTCAATGTTTCTTGAGAGTAGTAATGGGAAAATGATAAGGAGATTAAAACTTTAGTAGTTTAAAAAACTTTAAATATGATGATCCTAAAAATAAAGTTTCTCTCCCATAATTTTTAAATCAAAGAATTCATCAATATTAGTCTATTGAGTTACAACTCTATATCATTAAATGCAGCATTCATTCATTCAGCAAATATTTATTGAGTGCCTAAGATATGTCAGACACAGATCTATGCACTGTGGGTAGCAATGAGCAAATTCCATGCCCCTAAAGTCTAAGTCCCTGGCACTAAATTTTAGTAGGGGTGACAAGGCAGATGGTGATAATAAGTGCTATAGGGAAACAACATCGAGTAAGGGGGAGAGGGAATGGCAGAAGGTAAGAAGAGATTGTTATTTTTAAAAGGACAGTCAAAGAATGTCCTTCTGAGCAGGTGGCATTTGAACAAAGCCCTGGAAGGAGCAAAGGATGTAAATAACTCGAGGAAGAACGCTCCAGTAAAGAGAATGCAAGTGTAAAACTCTGGGGGAGAGGAGCATTGGGTTCAAGGAATACCAAGGAGGCCAAATCTGTGCGCAGCTCACTCATAGAAGCTCCAGGAACCTCCTTGTCTTGAATTTGGTGCTCCTAGGTTTAAACATTAAGTACAGGAGTGTGTCTCATGTTTTAACATTAAGTAGGATGCCAATGCTTGTGGAAGGTTTCTGCAAACTTATTCAAGTTACAGAAAAGCCATTCTATCTTAAGTTGTTAAAAGAGTTTTTACTCCCAGTAGTTAAATATTATCAAATGCATTATATCTATTGAGATGATCATATTTCTCTTTTATCCTGTAATATAGTGAATTTTTTCTAAACTGAACCATCCTATCATTCTTGGAGAAACCTTACTTGGTTCAGTCTTATTATTCTTTTGATACACTACTGGATCAAGTTGCTAATATTTTATATAGTGTTTTTGCATCTGTATTTACAAAGCGAACTGAGCACATAGTTTGCTTGGGCTTCTTCCTGTTTTGGCATCAGCATTATGCTAACTTTATCAAATGAGTTAGGCAGCTTCCCATCTTTTTATGAACTAATGATACAATCTGTGTAAAATGAGAATTAAATGGTCCTTGAATGTTTTGTAAAGCTTACTCAGGCGTGCAGCTTTAGAAGGTAGTTGGCACTTAAATACATTTATACAAATCTTCCTTAATTATCCAAGTTTTTCTATTTCTATATGAGATAAATACGTTCATTTTTATTTTTCTAAAAAATCACTATCATATGGGTTTTCAAATGAATTGGCTTTAAAAAGTTATGACAATTCCTCTTATAATTGCAGTTATGCTCTCACTTCCTTGGTGTTTATTTATTATTTTCTTGCTTATACTTTCCAAATTTTGTCTATTTTTTTGGTCTTAAATTGATAACTTTGTTTTATCTTTTCTTTTTTAACAGCTTCATTGTGATATAATTTACTCATTTAACATTACAATTAAATAGTTTTAAGTATTTTCAGAGCTGTGCAACCATCACCACAATCAATTTTAGAATATTTTTGTCAAAACCAAATGAAATACCATACCCATTAGCAGTCATTCCTGTTACCCCTCCCCATCCCATTACCCAGCCTTAGGCAACTGCTAATTTACTTTCTGTGTCTATGAACTTGCCCATTTCGGACATCTCCTATACATGAAATCATACAATATTAGTCTTGTTTGATTGGCTTCTTTCACTTGGCAGAATGTTTTTGAAATTCACCCATGTTGTAGCATGCACCAGGACTTCATTCCTTTTTGTGACTGAATAATATTCTGTTGCATGGATATACTACACTGTGTTTATCCACTTATCAGTTGATGGATGTTTGGACCGTTTCCACCTTTGGCTCTTATGAATAATGCTGCTATAAACATTCATGTTCAAGTTTTTGTATTGTCATATGTTTTATTTTTCTTAGTTACATACCTAGGATTGCTGAGTTATATGGTAACTCTATGTTTAATCATTTGAGGAATTGTCAACCCATTTTAAAGAGCAGCTGCACCATTTTATATTCCTACCAGCAAAGCACGAGGGTTCCAGCTTCTCCACATCCTCACTAATACTTGTTATTATTTATATATATATTTTTATTATCGCCATCCTAGTGGGTGTAAAGTGGCCTCTCATTGTGGTTTTGATTTGCATTTCCCTGGCAGCTAATTTTGAGCCTTTTTTCATGTGCATATTGGTTATTCATATGTCTTCTTTGGAAGAAGAAGATCCTTTGCCCATTTTTTAAATAAGGTTATTTGCCATTTTTATTATTGAGTTGTATGAGTTCTTAATACGTTCTAGTTACAAGTCCCTTACCAGATATGATTTGTAAAACCATTCTGTGGGGTTTATTTTTACTTTCTGGATGGTGTGCTTTGAAGCACAAAGGTTTTAATTTTTATTTTTTCTTTACTTTTTCTTTTGTTGCTTGTGCTTGATGGCTTTAAAAATTTTTTATTTCTATTTTATTTTTCTTAACTCATTTCTTATATTTTCTGAGTATATTTTATTCTTTTTATCTAATTTCATGAGTTGAAAGCTCAGAACAACACAAAGATTTAAAGTACAATAACAAGTGCTACAAAATTTCCTCTGAATATGACTTTGGCCACATGACACAGCTTTTGATAAACAGTAGCTTTTGATAAATGTTGTGTTTTCAGTTGTTTATAGTAGGAAATTTCTACTTCTATTTCTTCTTTTACCCAAGAACTATTCAGAATTTTTAAAAACATTCAGGTTATATATTTTATTCTTTGGAACATATTTTTATTTTCAGTGTTATATTGCATTTGGTAAACTTGTTTAAAGTTAGTTAAATTTTTCCTTTACAAAATAGTATAATACAGGACTTCCCTGGTGGCACAGTGATTAAGAATCCGCTTGCCAATGCAGGGGACACGGGTTCGAGCCCTGGTCCAAGAAGATCCCACGTGCCGTTGAGCAACTAAGCTCGAGCGCCACAACTACTTAGCCTGCGCTCTAGAGTCTGTGAGCCTCAACTACTGAGCCCGAGTGCCGCAACTACTGAAGCCCACGCACCTACAGCCCATGCTCCGCAACAAGAGAAGCCACCACAATGAGAAGCCCGCACGCCGCAATGAGGAGTAGCCCCGCCCCGTTCCCCCCAACTAGAGAAAGCCCGCGCACAGCAACAAAGACCCAACGCAGCCAAAAAATAAATAAATAAATATTTTTTTTTAAAAAGAAAAAAACTCATTTCTAAAAAAAAAAAAGTATAATACATAACCCAATTTTTTTTTTT